TGAGGTAATAGCGATGGCCTCCAACCTACTACGATGGCCTCCAACCTACTAGTGGGCTCCAACCTCAGGGAGAGAGAGGGAGCACCCAACTCTTGAGGTAGTACCAAATTCTTCACCCTTCCCTCCCCCCGTAAATCCACAAAACCAACTCTTCATCGTCCTTTCCGCAGTTCCCGGATGACATCATCATGGAGGTCACCGACATCAAACAGTCCAAGGACAGTGGCCGCGCCCGGAACACCCAGTGCCGGGCCGTTTTTGGGACCGGAGACCGGACCTGCACCGGATGTGACCTTGGGAACACATCTTCACAGGTTTGGAAACACCAGTTCAATAACAAGGTGGCAGGAAGAATGAACCGGGTTGATCACGGTTCTCATCGTTTTTAGAATCTCCTTGGTGTTGTGTGCAAGTATGACTCACCAAATGGGTGTTGTTATTTTTTTGCCGATGAGCCAGATGAACCTTGGTGGGTTGAAAAAGACTGCGCTTGCAACAGACTGCGTGTTCCAGAACCCTGCGCGTGGTTTCACCCATGCTGGGTTCGTCCCCCATATCCATGATCCTGCATGCGGTGGGTGTTTCAGCCCCCATGTGTGTCGCGCGGAGCCACCTTCGGACAATGAACCCAGCGACTTCCTCCCGGCTGGGGGGAGTCTTCCTCCCGGTGACTGCAAAAAGAGTCTCAGTTTCGAAGAAGAACACGCAGAAAGACCTGTGGAGGTCAAACACATTCACTGTATGTGTGAATGTCCGTTTACCAGGTTTTGAGGGTTTTCCCATGGTTTCCCTGGGGTCCGTGCCCCTAAGGATCAGATCGTGACCTTGGAGAATGGTGTCTCCAAGCAGGCGCCTTCCTACATCAAGGCACCCGTTGCGCGATCCGTTGCGGTGAAGCGCCCCCCCGATCACCAGGCGTTTTCCTGGTGGTGGATGACTCTTAAGGAGGATATTTTTTACACCCAGGGAGATGCCGAGCCTGTTCTGGTTAATATGAATATACACATGTGCCTGTATAGGGGGGGTTCGAAAGCTGTTGAGTTTTGACGGTACATTTCTTTAGACGACGTATTGGGAACCTTTCTACAATGGGCAGTTTCCACGTGGAGGGTTTTGACAGTAAGTTCCTTTAGACCCAAAAGAGGGAAGAAGGTCACCCCTCACCTACGCAAGACCCTGAAGGCATCCTGGGTGTCCGTTGGTTTACTAGAGCTGAGAACGCCAATGATTCACACTAACTCTCCAGGTGCACAAGCAACTCTCCAGGTGCCCGTTCTCCCAAACCAGCAACTCCGGTCGACTTATTCAGAAACTGATACTGATACGACAACTGTCTGTGTCTGGATTTGTTGAGGGACCAGCCATGCAAAAATATTCATCGACTAAGCATGTATTGGGAACCTTTCTACAATGGGCAGTTTCCACGTGGAGGTTGGTGCATGGTTTCCATGATCCAGACATATATATATATATTATCTAGAGTGAGCTGGAGGGGCCCTTCGGACAGCTTTCCAATCAGTGCATGTTGAGCCTTCCGGGCGAGTGAGAGTATGTACATGTATTGTACCACCATCCGCAATGACTTCTTTGGAGGAAAGATGCATGTAGAATGATGGCATGATTTATGGAAACCTGCAGAAGTTGAAACTGTTGCCTGTTTGGGTGTGAGGCCAGGCCTATTATTCAAGATGATCCTGTGCAATCTCAAAGGAAATCCTACTCATCATACCACCCCCCTCAGAACTCCTAGCTCGAATCCCAACGTTTTTATGGCAACTCTCCGTAAGAGACACCACTTGGAAGACCAGTTTTCAGCATGTTCTTTAACCCCAAACCCCTCCCATGTTTTCATTGTTTTTCGCTGCCACTAGCTGAACACTTTTTGGCAGGTGGGCGACAAAGTCAAGGTGGACAAGAAGAACTTCGAAATTAAGAAGCGAAGCTAAGTGCGGGGTGGATTAGAATGACCTCACACAGCTAGCAAGACCGCTGAAGTAGAGAATCTCTAGAGTGGATTGCCATAACAACGTTATAGATTTAGTGAAAGTATGTCGTTAGCAACCTGAGTATTTCAAACAGAAGCAGGCTTTCTAAATGTTTAGTCGACACTGGTAGACAACTCAGTCCTTTGGGCGTCGCGCATGCGATCCAAAATTGATGCCTCCCGATGCATGTCTTGGGTATCAATGGCGGGTTTTCAAGGCAGTTGATGCCTCCCGATGCAGGTGAAAAACGGTTCTGAAAGTCTGAAGCCTTTCATACGCTTCGCTCGTAGGACTCCACATTGGCTGCGAAGTAAACGAAGTAAACTCATTTGAAGGGTAGATCAGCAAGGAATCGGAGCAGTAGCGTAGTTGTAACCTTTTAGGGGCGCAATTCAACAAAGCCAATAGTGTTTAAGGATGCCGGGAATGCAGGTGGTCCTTCAGCTAGCTAGGGCCACGCTGCTTTCAGGTGCCTTTCGTTAATGAAAGCCCGGTCAGAAGGGGGATGGGATGAAGATTGTCCCCTGAAAAACTGGGCTATTATTTTTTCCTAATGTCTTTGGACACGACCATTCTACAGTATATAAAGGACAAGGCCAGCTTTGCACCCCGCAGAGCTCAAGTTTTCAGTTGCCCACCGCAACGCGCTTTTCGTGCCGTCACCTTGCGCCAGCAAGTGCTTGCACCGTGCGGTTGTTTGTCCCCTTGGTTGGAAGGCCCATGAAGCAAGTCTAAAAGCATCTAAAAGCTCTGGGCCGGCTCATGTTGAAAGCCCACGACTTGGCTTGAAAGACCAGACTTCTCTTCATGTATTTTATATAGAATCAATGAGCAATTTATACATACTGGTGACTATGATGGCAAGAAGATTTCCCCTTTCCTGATACTTGGTGTGGGGGTTAGGTGTGGGAAGGGTACCCCCCGAAAGATCAGCCCAGCCAGCCGAATGAACTACTTCGACGCCTCGACGACCACCGCGCGGATGCGAAAACACGACCGGCAGCACATGGATCTGCGAGACAAACCGGACCAAAAGGCGCTCGAGGCCGTCCGATGCGACAGAACCGCGACTCGTGCAGAACGGGCGACGTTGATGCCAACCTTGGTGGCGATAGGGTCGAGAGATGCTGTCGAGGCCGAGGCATCAACTCGAAATGGTTGCTGCAACGTAGCGAAGGAGTCACACTCGAATGGGTTGCTGAAGCCCGACCAGTCCACCATGTGCCTGCGAAGGACCGACACCTCAGCGATGACGGTATTCCACACTGCCATGACCCACAGCCAATGTGAGTTGAATTGTTGCCAAGACCAAGTGGATTTTTGCCAGACCAAGTCTCATGTTTCTTGTGATGTTTTCGACACCCCCCTGTTTCAGTTCTTTTCTGGTGTCTGAGGGTTGGGTAAGTAGGGGGAAGCAGAACAATTCATGTTTCAACTGGCTTTTTTTACATTGAGTGATGAACATCTCGCCATTTCAGAGACGTACAGTGGCCATTTTTGCTAGGACGTCGTCATTGCAGAATAACTCTACGGAACCCACCGAAGACTGCGCCGCAGACTGCATCCCGTTTCAGGCCTCTGTGGGCGCCTATGCCGACAACGACGACCTGGCCGCGACCTCGGCGGCGGTTTTGGGGTGTGACCTGGGCTCGTCCGGCTCTCCCGTTGGAGCGCTTTCTTTGTGCCGTTTGGCGCGTTTGGCGCGGTTTGGCGGCAGCATGAAAAGAAGAAAAGCAAGCAAGAACATCAAGAGCTTGGTGTTGCTGAGGAGGGAGGGACTTGGGAGCCGGGGGTCACTCGGAGCTGGGGACTCGGGACTTGTATCCATATTTGTCTCATGAAACAGGGAGCTGGGTCACTCGGAGCGACCATGGGAGTATTCCCCCAACCCCGGCAGCGACAGAGGTGAATTTCACAGGGGAACTGGGGACCACTATGGACCACTTCCAAACGGTGCCGGTGTTTGTTCCCCAAAGCGGCAGAAGAATGCATCACCAAGGGATACCCAAGGCAAATCCTTCTCTCTACTACTAGATGCGCGAGCTCCGATTTGTAAAAGAAGTGATCTAGCACGGCTTGTGAGAGGAAGGAGAATCTGCCCACTCTGCCCTGATCCTTCACTGGGAAGGGCCCGGGATTAGGTCCCACCCCCTCACCTCCTCAGGAGAGCTTCCATTGAGAGACATGTGCCTGGCCAAAAGCTTGCAGCTGCCACTGAGACAGTCCATGTGCTGGGTAATCTGAAATGATCTGAAAGACATTCGTTGGCAGCTCTGAAGCGATTGCCTCCTCGGCGCTTTTCATTCATGTTTCACCCCGAAGATGTGCGAGTGCGATTCGGCCTCGGTCAAGAAGAGGCTGACGAGTCTCATAAGTGGGTTTCTTGCTTGAAGGTCAGCAGAAAAACCTTTGCGATATATATATATATATATATGCTCAAGTCTAGAATTTCAATTTCCAACTCTTCCTTTGAATGCTGATTTGTTGGAAGACTAGGTGATCAGTTTCTTTTTTTTCATGAAATCAATAAGCACTTGTCCAGACAAAAGATCCTGATTTTTTAAAATCACTTACAGTATTTCTCCGTAATCACGTCTTCAGATTCACTCGATGAGCAGCCAAACAGGCCACCTCTGGCGCCCACTGGCCACCTTTGTGATGTGTTGGACCATGGGAACTAACGGAAGTCTCCTCAAAAGGAGTGATATGTTTCTTATTGAAAGAGTCAGTCATGCCATTTTCTCCACTGATGGTAGATAAGATGTGATATATTCAAGGGTCATGGTCATGGTCAAAGCATTTTGTAACATTTCAATCACAGGACCTCATCCATATAGAGAAGGGTGTTTCACCAAATATTCACCATTTCATTATTTCATAGCATTTCCATCGCTGCCACCATTCTGAATGACTTCATTGGAGGTTTGGAGGATGCGTCTCATTGCCAGCTGTCGGAGTCGCTGTTACACAGGTGGATTGCAATGAGTGAACTGTCTGCGGAACTGCGATGCAACCTTTGGCTCCAGGGCTTTGGAGAGGAAGAACTGAGGGAAGAGGAACTTGTTGAGATTCAAGCTTTCCAGCAGCCTGGCGGCAGAAGGGAGCGAAACTGGTCCTGGGATGGTCCAGGGATGGGCAGGGATGGGCAGGTGGGTGTTACGGGCTAAACGTGGTCGGAGGAGAGTGGTGTACCACAGATCAATTTCGTTGTTTTTGCAAATGTTGGCAGCAAGCGGTTTCCGGGTATGATTTTGGGATGCACGAACGCGGAATCCAATTTTTGGACACGTAGAAAGACACGTGACACAGTGTTTTTTCAGTGAATTTTCCAGTATGTGCTGAATGTGCTGTTTGCTTAAAGACCATGAGTGCCCCGGTCTTTTGGGGAATTGGGGGGGGAAGAGACTTAGACATGCAAATGGTAAAAGACATGCACAGGGTAAAGAAATCCTTCTTCAGAAAGTAACAGCGACAGGGAAGTTCCTGTAACTGTCGCGATTGCGGAAACTCTTCAGTCTTCTGCACTGAGCTTGTGTGACGTACAAAGGGTGCAGAGGCTGCTATCTGTGAAGAACTCCACCAGGATTGCAAAGAATGGCTGATTGTTGATAGCACCTGGCTGAACAAGCCTTCACAACCTGGATCTTCCAACCATGCAACATTTCTGCCTTTTGGCTGGTCTTATAGATGACTTTTGCACAGCTGGAATATCCAGGTACAGTATACCCTTTGTACGTGATAATTCCGTGTGTTCCAAACCCATGTCTATAGTGTACAACCCTCCATACGCTTCGATGCTTCCGGTTTCGATCGCTCGGAAGGTCATGGCGCGCGGTATCATCAAGCACCTGAAGCGCATGTATGCCGGGGCGCCGGACGAATTGCATATCCTTCACATCCAAAGGAGGCATATCCTGAAGAATTGCATATCCCTCACTCTGCACATCTGGAAGAATTGCATATCTTACCTTTACACGTATTTGTATTTCTTCTACCTTTGCATCTCAATGCAAAGTCATCTGGGGGCGGGGCAAACACGCCTTTGACTCCATGCGCCACTCTAATTATGTAGGTCCTTAACCCATATAACCAACGGTGCGCCCAGAGCAAGATTTGGGGTCAATGGAGTGGCGTGGAGCAAAACTTTGAGACCAGGTCTACAAAACTTCAATGAACAGGAAAAGACTCTCCACAGATGGATGACTTCTTCCTATCCCAAACCGCGCCGTTTTGGAGAACCATTGGACACTTTTCTCCACCCAGGCGCCCAAGCAGTGGATGCTGGACAAGCTCCGCGGACGATGGGCCGGCGACCTAAGTGGAGGGACTTCCGGCATTTGGAAGACGCCAGTGCAACCTGGATCTGAAGAACCTCATTGAGTACACTCCGGTGAACTAACATGGAAGTGGATGTTGCAGGGAGAGTAGTAGTACTTCTTGTATGACCAGATTGTGTCAAAGGATCTCCTTGACTTGTGTCATTTCTCGTCCATGCCAATCGGACGTGATCAAGGGGCCCTTCAGGAGTCACACAACAGACAAACAGACAGATTGGTCGATTGCCAGTGGCATGCATCTGGCTTTCTCTTATCAGAATGTCTCAAGCAAAACAACTCATGTCACCAGACGGGCAACCCTTGGTTTCCAAACCCAACCTGTCGCCATTCCCATGTCGCCCCATGCTTTCGTTGTTGGCTCCGCCGGCGCTGCCCGTCCGAGGCGCCCAAGCCCAATGCCGGTCCCCACAAGCTGCGGGAGTGTCTTCCTCTCATCGCCCCTTGGGTTGAAGAACCAAAGGAGCCACAAAAAGGGCGCGATGAAGGGAGAGAGAGAGGGACGTGTACGTCACCGTTGCTCCGTTGCTAGCTTAGCGCGGACGAAGAAGCGCGATGAGCGTTCGGTTCTCTGGAGTGATGGGGCGGGTGAATCGAGAATCGTGAACTCGTGCAAGGACAGAATTGGTAAGTTCGGAACAAGCATCTAATAAGAATCTAATAAGTGTTTGTCTGAAGAATCGTTTGTTAAGAGAGGCTTGGCCTGCAAATTAGACAGCCGCTCAGCCACCCCAATTTTCGCGGACCAAATGTCCGGTGCGGGACTTGGAGGTTTGTCGGTCCCAGTTCGAGTGTCTGGGTGTCAGGTCTCAACTCGCCCAGTGCTCGGACAGCCACCGGATCTGAGGTGATGCTGCGACAGCGGTTGAAGTATGCCGTGATCTCAGCGGAGAAGACGAACGAGCGTGTTTGACGTCGGCTCACGGTGCTGGCACTGGGCAGCCCGGCTCGGTAATTTCACACTCCTCACATGTGCCACAATGGCTTATATTTACTACGTACCGGGTGGGCGTTCTCTTTCGTTCCAGGTCAGGAGCTGCCAGGAAAGTCCCAAGTCGAAAGCTTACTCCTGACAACCTAATTCTGCGCCGCTTTTTTGTTCTGGCTGAGTTCCTACTTGGTGACTCGCGGGCACCAGGCAAAACCACTTCAGGGACCAAACAAAGCATACTTGGGGGGTGCTTGGTGTGCAAGGGATGTGGAACACGACCTATAGAGTCAGAGGACTTCAAAGACCTGGCAATTGCCAGCTGACCGACTAAACAGATTTTTCGCAAGTTGATATGTCGAGTAGTTCACAGCACTTCAAAGCAATTCACGAGCTGCAAAACTCCAATGGGTGATGGAGAAGAGTCTGGAAAGTGACTCAGTGAGTGACCTTTTGGGTGAATAGAAAGTCACATGCCTGTCAGTCAAGCGGTTGTACTGTAGGTCAACTTCTCTTGAGAAGTGCGGTTTCTATATGGGCGAGTGTTGGCAACACCATTTGTAGATATTCAAAGGTGTGCTCTCACAACTGTTTTTTACTGCGGTTCTTCAGAACGATTGAATCAATGTAGACATGCCCTGAACAAAAGCTTGGCCCAACGTTTGACCCGTTTGCGGCGCCTCAGGCCGGGTGGTTCTGTCTCCTCACCCGACCCGAAACACGCCACGGTGCCGCCGGCCCCTTGAGGCGCTGACCTACCGTGAGGTGAAGATGATCGTCATGCAGCGATTCATCAAGGTGGTGTGGAGCCCTAGGGGAACTTCTTCGTCTGGGAACCCTGATTTTTGTTCGACTCGCTTGGTTTGGGGGGGAGGTTGGTTTGCACAGGTGGGCCTGGAGCCAATAAGAGCAGGTCATGGGGCCATGTGGGGAAGCTCTTCTCGGTTCGTGGTCGAACGGTGAGGGGTCGAAAGGTTGGGGTCACGTGAAGGGTCGAGGAGCTCCGAGGACCAAGCTTCGCCAATGGAGTCGGAATCGGAACAGGACAAAGCTTCCCGATTCCCAACGTTTCCCGGCTGAACTTCATCTTCTATGCATGTTGGGAGTTCGTATGACCAACGATACAACATGCGGCCCATTGAGATCATTGAGAGGTCTTTCTTTGCAGGGAGGTTGGGTCGAGCTGATGTTTTCCTCAGGTTACCTTTAAACTTTAAACGCAACAATGGGTTTGATGCCTGACCCTTCAGACACTTGCTACAGTTGAAATCTAGAGTACTCACTTACCCAGTGCCAGTTGATCAAATTACCACTCTCTCTCTCTCTCTCTCTCTCTCGGTAGGAAACCTGCAGCACTGTCGCAAAACACGTGGTTCCAACGACAGACACAAAGACACCCGCCCCCCCCGCCAGGTTCCGAAGACGAGTCTAAAAACACCACGTGGTTCCGCCGGACGCGTCCTCCGCGTGACCGCTACAAACGCGTGTTCGCCCGACTCAGGATGGGAAGGTCCGAAGCGACATGTTCTACCCTGCGGGCTTCATGGATGTGGTCCAGATCGAGAAGACCAAGGACGGTGGACACACCGTGGGAAACCACCGCACCGACCTGCGAGGCAAACCGGAGCGGGTGTTCACCGGTTTCCACCGGTGCATGTCACTGAGAAAGGAGGCCAAAATTTGGACGTCCAGAGAGAGCAAGGTGCTTTGGACGCAAGGTGTTTGGTTCCACTTTTGCCACCAGGCTGTGAATGTTACCACAATGATTACTAACTAGGCCCGTCCAATCGACCCGCGCCCACCTGTTCTTTTGCTCTCAGAACGGTTATATAGACACTGACACCCTGCCATGTCATGTTGTTTCCATCCAAAAGCAACCCTTTGAGAGGAACTCTTCAAAGATTGCAGCGACCGACAGGAGAACTTCCGCCTGCTTTACAACACCAAGGGCCGCTTTATCCTGCACAAGGCAGGAGGATGTCGCTTCGGAACTTTGTCCCACCCAACTAAACAACACAAGGGGTACGATTAGGGGAACTTGTCTTTACAACATTTTACATCATTTTACAAACAAATGCAAAGAGGGTCGTGCGGGAGGGGAGTCAAGGTGAAGCTACAGACCTAGTGCCAGGAAAAATTCATTGCAGGTCTCACCAAACCCTGCTCCTAAAGTCCCTTCAATATCTCAAGATATTCCGATCTCCCATTTGCACTCCTCCAAATCTGCCAAAAGGCATCCCTCAAGACTCCGTCGAACTTTGGCCCATTTTTGGGGGGTCGGGTCGCCCAGCGATTGTCTGGAACACTCCGAGGTGGCCAAGGAAGAGGCGAATTACAAGCTCTGCCGGGTCAAGAAGGTGATGCGAGGTGGAACAAAACTACTCCGCGACTTCTCCGCGACACGCGAGCGGAAGTTTCTTTGTTCTTTCGTGAGAGTCGACTCCTGGCAAGTTGGGTGATTCCCGTCGAAAGTTGGGTGAGGAAAGTTGGTTTGAAGACGCCGCGACTGTCGGGCGGAAGAAGGGGTCGACCCAGAAGAAGGTCCCGGTGAATTCTGGGCTCAGATTGGAGGATTCTTGGCTCAGTTCGGCTCAGATCCTGTTGGCAGGCCTCTTGATGCAAACCACGACTTGGGAATGCTTTCGCCCCAAAATTTCCATCAACTTCTTGCTGAAGGCGTGCCATCCAAGCCCCAAGGCCTTTCAGAAGTCCATACTGGTTTGAATGGATGGAAGCCCCATCTCAGACTGAAAGCATCCAGACATGCCGCAGATTATCACGAAAGGTAGATTCAGCCACCATGTATTGGAATTGGATGGAATTGGTTTAAGATTTGTTTTGACATGCCCCGTGGGGGGTCAGCCCCTTGGATGCTTGGCATCCATTTTGCAGGATCCTTTCGGCTATACAAAGATTTGTTGCGTGGAGATAGCGGAGTCAGTTTGCTGCTCTCCTCTCAGCTGCCAATGGTTTGGTCTTCCTGGTCCAAAGGGGGCTGACGAAGCATGTCTTAAGGATCAGTCTCACACTTCAGCTTTCACACCAGCATGCAGCATGCTTCGTTGAATGCATTCTGCCCGTTTCACTCGTGGCTTCACCCGCCAACACCGCCAGGCCCCCGCGGGGTGCCTTATGCGGTGACCCACGACGGACGTACCATCCGCTACCCGGACCCTGACGTGAAGGCAGAACCCACCCACCGGGGTGGTGAAGATAGGTGGAAGATGGTGGGAGGTGGTGGGGATGAGAGATTATTTCATGGTGTTTCGTTGATATGGATTTTGCTTCCATTTGCTTCCTATGCGACTGGCAATGACTATTATATACTGTACATTATATACACATTCTAAAAAAAATATATAGACACCCTAATTAAAAAAAAAAATATATAGAGACACCCTAATTGACTCCTCCGGATTTCCCCGCCTCTCTGAATCCATCCATCGCCACGAACGCGCAGGCTCACGACACGGTGCGGTGGGGGCGTCCCAGGTGCACGTCGCTGCGGCGGCAGTGGCGACGTGAGGTCTCTGGCGTTGAATGTGAAGGTTCCTGCAGTTTGGTGTCGGTTCCTGGAGCGAAGATGGATAGGTTCCAAATGGTTACCCTTATAATCCATTATATGTCTATATGTTGCCACACCTTGCGCATCCTGGTGCCCACCGAGTTCGGGGTTCCCATCTCTCCTTTCTGCACCTACCCCTTGCAAGGTCACCGTACCGAACTCAAACGTCACGAATTCCAATTCTTTTTGATGACTGAAAACTTTACACCAAAGTTGAACAGATTAGGTTGGTTTGATTGTAATACCAGACTATAAAGCAACTTGCAAAATAAATATATATATATATATATGAATATATATGCATATTGTATATATGTTAATTAGTGAAGTGTCAATAGATGCACATTAAAAAAGACCTATCACACCCTTGACTCACCAGCACACGTCCTTATTCCAGCCCCAGCTTTTTGGGGCTTTCGATGCGCCACATGTATTTCCAAAGACCACGGACTAACGCGGTGTGTTTTGTGTGTTTTCCCATCTCTCGGTGTTTGGCTCTCGGTGTTTTGCCTCTTCTCAGGTTGGACCTAGAGACAGGTAAGATCCTGGACCACGTGAAGTTCGAGCCCGGCAACGTGGCCGGGGGTGGCCCAGTGTAGTTTTCACCGTGCGCACGGCTGGAAGAAGTGCCTTGTTCATTTTTGGGTTTTGGACAGATCGAAGATTAAAGAAAAACTGTTGGCATGAGGGTATAGTCCGAGAATGGAAATGGTCGGAATACTCATGAATCCTGGCCCAAAAAGAGCATTGGAATGTTTTGAGGGCCAAGGTAGGTAAGTAATAATGCGTACATGGATTGTTGCTGTACAGATGGGCGCTCTACTGGATCATTTGCAAAAAAACCTTTTGCCTCATCCGTTTGTGAGGTCATGATCAGTGGCGGAAACAACATTGGCAACTCGGAGTGCAATGGATGTAACCGTGGATGTTGGGTGTCTTCAATGGGTTTTGGCCGACACTGAATGAAGGAACACCATGTCGTGCGAATTCCTTTTCCATCCAAGGCTTAAGAATAGTAGCTCCATGCTTTCCGGGCTACTTTGTGTTGGTGAACGGGTGAAGACCTACTTTGTACATCTTAGTATCATTGAACCTGTCGTACATGTTCATTGGTGTGACCATGCCTTCTGAAAATGGGACGATCCTCCGTGCAACAGTGTACAGTGAAACAACCGAAGACATCAGTACCAGTTCCCAAGCTACATGCCCTCTCGAAACACCATTCGAGACCTCTCAGCTCTGCAAACAAAGAAGCACCACTACCAGTGCGATGACCCTGAGCTGAGCGGAGAGAGGCTCGGGTGAGGCTCGGGTGAGGCTCGGGTGAGAGGAGCGCACTCCTGAGGTCGTGTGGGAGTGATCACCCACGAAGAGAAGCACCCGGGCTCCTTTGAGATGGTGCACGTGAAGGCGCACGTGCGCACGTGCGCACGTGCTGGCACACAGCCCCCCCCCCAGGTTTTGGTGGAGCCTGCTCAGGCGACGTAGAAAAAGATATGTTTCAGATTTTAAGGCCCTGGGCTCGGTAGCCAACATCATTTCTTCGATCGGACATCACTTATACCATGGACACGTGGTGTGGATTCGAATGTCAAAGATAACAAGACCTTCAAACAGTCTTTGCGCAGCCTTTAGGAAAAACTGCGGTTTCTGCCATTCCCAGATGCCTCCCAGCCGCCCTCAGGTTGAGAAAAACAAACAAATCGCTCCTTCCAGGACGCCGTGGGACACAGCTTCAACACCCGGCTGGAGAACGTCTTCGTCATTGGCCAAGGCAACAAGCCTTGGATCTCCCTGCCCAAGGCCCATCGAGCCGGGAAAGAAGGAGGTCTCCATTCGACTGGTCGACTGGGTGAGCTACGGCTGGATTTGAGGTGCCAACAGAGGTTGAAGGACCCTATAGACATCTATCTACATCGATCTACAGACTATCATGACTATCCCATAGGTACCCCAGTAGGGTCCTATCAGAGAACTTAACCTCTCTTGACTTGGTGTAGCTGATGTCTTGTCGTTGGAGGTGCCCTGCTGTCAAAGGAAGCCACACACACAATCTTGCTGGGTTGTTGCACTGTCTCACCCGAATGGTAGGCGTCCTCTGACGAGGACAGGGGTTGATAGCCACCAATCATATTGGAGCTCTTGGCACCCATCTACATTAGAAGATATTTTTATTCGTTCACATATTTTCACATGGGGAAAAGCAGCTCGAATGAATTGCAAAACAGAAGGCCGTTCAAAGCAAGCCTCCGGGCCATCAGAAATCGTCCCAGTGGGATCCAGTTTCACTTCCTGATCGATCAGCCCGTTCGATCAGCCCCTGGTCGAAGCAAGTCGCAGGGCAACGGGATCAAGCTTAGCATTGTGGAGGACCGAGCTGCGCGAATGAAGTGAGCCGCGCGGCTGCTCAGTGCAGGGTCGGACCAAACGCAAGAGGTGTTTCTTTTAATCTCCGGAGGAGGCCGCAAATGATTGAGGATGATTGAGGTGAACGACAGATGCTTAAGACACTCCCAACGAATTACTGATTCAGATTCACATTACGGGCCAGAGTCTGAGGGCGAAAATCACCAAACAAAACATGGTTATCTTATGTTATCTCTTTCCCTAGTAGCGAACATTGCTCCGTTCGTAGCGATGCCAGGAGCCCCGTTCGTAGCGTCCGATCGCTCCGTTCGTAGTAAGGCCAGGAGCCCCGAACGTAGCTTCTTGTTCCTAGTAGCGATGCCCTGTGTTACTAGTAGCTTATTGTTCCTACTAGCGTCCTTGTTACTACTAGTAAGGCACTTGTTACTACTAGCGAGGCACTTGTAATTACTAGCAAAGGAATCTACTGGTTATCTGTTATCTCTTTCTGACCCATGAGGGGTGAACAATCTGGACCAACATGGCCACCAGGAGTGTCCGCATGTGATGTTTTCATTTTACCGGAGTGGATGTACTGCTGGATCAATGGGCTTCAGCTCCGCAAACCGAAGCACTTCCAATGACTCATTCCACCCATTTCGATCCCATTTTGAAAGTCATCACGCACCACTGCCAGGTAAAATGAGTCATATTTGGTCCGTCAGGGAACACGGAGCTCTGGGGACGAATCTACGGGCGATTCAGAAGAGCTTACCGGGCAAATCTACGACCTGAAGTTCTTTAAAGTTGAGATCCCAAAAGTCAAATCAACTATTATATAACAGCTGACTAGCTTTTTCGTGACGTACACCAACCGAATTCGCCCGCAAGAACTGCACTTTGGTGGTGTCCATCTGCCACGTTCGCAGAGACCGAAAGACGACGGCTTTGGACGAAGGACTTTGGTGACTTCATCCGAAGAGACCGCTCAGGTCTCTTCGACGCCGCGAAAACTGGAAAGTGACCGTTTTGCTGAAAGCCCTTGGAGGAAAAAGGGATCGAAGTGTTTTTCTTTCACGGAAAAGGGATCGTGGCGTCCTTATGATCGTGGCGTCCAAAGATTCGAGACGTGACCCGCAAGAACTCGTGGCTCAAAGTTTGGTCATGGTCGTTGGCTTCGCAAGTTGGATGTGAGATTCCAAGTGCGACTCAGATTTGTTTGCGATAGGCGCACGCACAGAATTGCTTCCGCACTTCGATTTTGAGTAGAGAGGCCTGAAGCACTGGATTCCAGCATGCCACCTTTGCCGTATCCATTTTGACGACGATCAAGTGCAGAGTGCGGGTTGGTCCCAAGCTTCAGTACTTGGATGCAGAAACATTTCATGTGCGAAGCAGCAAGGAAGTGCAGATTCCAGGGACCAAAACAGCTGTAGGTGTATCTTGTGAAACTGAAAATGCTGGAACATTAAAAAATTGGGGCATGCCCTGTATGCTGGCAGCAAACCAAGAACCTGTGAATATGGCATATCTACTTTCCAGACTTGTTAGGTTCACGCGGGGGGCTGTCCCAAAGAACGAGCACCGAGGACCACACACCTCTTGGACCAAAAACACACACACACACGAGCGCGGGCGGGCGCAAAGCTGGACAGAGAAAGACATGTTTTGTCACAAACTAAGACTTGCAGCCATGTATGCAAGAAGAAAATCCCAACCGAAGTCTTGGGAATGTTATGGACTCGGTATGGACAGACATGGCCAACAAAACATGAACAAACACCAACACAGTGCTGCGGGGACTGGATTGGTGACGCCATGGCGGGGCGCTGCGGGGTGAGCTTAGTCCGCCATGGCGATCTCCCTGCTTGAGCTCCTCACAGGCACGCAGCAGAGACAAGCGCACAAGACGCACAAGAGAGGTGCCACAAAAGGGAGGGAGGGAAGGAAGGAAGGGAGGGAGGAAGGGAGGAAGGAAGGAAGGAAGGGAGGGAGGGAGGGAGGAAGGAAGGAAGGGGGGAAGGAAGGGAGGGAGGAAGGGAGGGAGGGAGGAAGGGAGGGAGGGAGGAAGAGTTGCCAACAGATATGTTTGGTTGTGGCTGCAGGTAGCAGGAACAGCACTCTTTTAGGGGTCCTTTGCAGTTAGTGGCTGGCTTTGTCCAAGCGCCCAATGTCCGGTTCGGCCAGGTGCTGTGGGGCCTGTCCAAACGCCTCATGTGCAGTGCGTGCTTGACGAGGCTGACTGACTGCCTGGCTGACTGACTGGCACTAAGAGATAGCCCCTCCTGCTTTGCAGTTGGTCTCCCAGTTTGTGGGTAAACGTCTACTTTCCAGGCTGCCACCGGATCACATTATGGATACCTCTGCTGAGCACAACATGATTGCTCGCAATCTGCAATCTTCAGGACCTAAAATTTGTCCAGCCGACTTGTTGCTAGAGCGTGCTTGTGGATATGGAGAACTTGCTTGCGTCACCCCATTGCAGACCGACAAGGCAAGAATGAATGTTGGGGCACTGCAAAACGATAGAGTGTAAGATAAAATGATAGCAAAACAGGTCGTATAGCCAAGGGTTCATGTTTCTTTTTCTAGAACCTCAAAGGGGGATGTTGGAGGGTCACAAAACGAATCCCAAATTGCGTAGCAAAAGGCAGAGGCCTCGCCGGCCCGAGACCAGGCACTCAGCCTCCGCTTCGCTGCCAAGCCTGGCGACTTCGGTGCGACGTCGCCGGAGCGATGGGGAGGGCGATGGCACGGCACGAAGGGTGTAGATGAGGACACCAAGAACTCGCAGTCTGATAGTTTGATTATGTTTGATGGGCCTCCTGAACAAACATGATGGCACCGGATGTTTTGGTCAACAACGTTCAAGCAGGCTTAGGTGAACCGAGTTGTTCTTGCATCTGAGGCACGACCGATGAGCTGCACAGGATACTGATTTAGCTTCTGCTAGACTGACCCCATGTATGGTGTTTGTCACCGTCAGCCAACCAATTATATATACTGTATATATATATTATATTTTTATAACTATATATATATAGTTATACTATATATATATATCATATAATATAAGTACACATATATATATATATACATGGATGCATACACATTATATAGATGTTCTTTACAGGGGTTGACAGACTATGAGAGGCTTTTTGCTGATAGAACCAACATTCTTCAGTCCAACAAAGCAGGGTTGGCCTCTTAATGAGGGGAATGGCCACATGTGGACTATGGATGCCTGCCTTTGATTTTGCACCCAAGTTCGTGTCTCGGACAGTGCCCAGCGCTTCGACCTGCAGGTCGCAAGTGGTCCTTGCTTGAGAGAGAGAACCTCAATGCCTCGGAGGCGAGGCGAGTGGTGCGGCGTCAGCGAGTGGTGGTGCGCTTTCTTCGCTGTGTCACGACTCGAAAGAAAGACCTTGACATGAGAAGTCTGAACCAAAGGTTGAGTCCACGGACTGGATTGTGGCTGTCCTGCGGTTTGTGGCTGTCCATGCTGCATTTCTTTTCAATTGCAGCATGCAGCCTTGTTGATGTCGGACTGTTGCTAGAACTTAGCTCCAGTCATGTTCTTTGATCTTAACATATGGTTGAGGAGGTGATCCCCCAAATAGAATCTTGGAAGGGTGTTATGTAAGTGGATACTCGGCCTTGTCTGCTTTACATGGTGTCAAACCCCTGCGGTTGAGATCATCAAGGGCCAAGCCTTTGCATAAGAAGTGGGACAACACAGTGTAGCTTATGCAATGCATTCTATCTTTGCAAGTGTGCAGACCAGTGACCAAGAACAAATTCCGCCCAGGTTCTGTCACACATCAATGATCATCAGTGTGAGCTTGAAGAATTAGGACTTGGCAACTCTGCAGAAGGGTTTTCTTCTACTCTTCCCAGAATGGGTTTAAGGAAACCATATAGGAAAGCCATAGTTTTGGGGGTGAAAGCCATGGTTCCTGTGGGTTTTGCCTAAAACTCATTCATTGAACTCTATAGTTGCAAGGGACGGACGCATTTGTCACCACCAGGTACGAGCCAAACCTGCTCAGAAGCGCAAGCGGTGCCAGCTCACGGGGAACCTGGCAAAGGCGCAGGGGTTTTTCACGTTGGTTGCGGGATGGTCGAAAAAACAAAACGTGGCAGGTATGCATGGTTTTGCTTAAGGTGATTTGTCACTTTCGCTATGGGCAAATCACCTTCCCGGGAATATCTTTTATGTTTTCCAGGTTCCTTGAGCAAATCCAAGTATGTGAATATAGTCCCAGACCTGTGGATGGGCTAGATACCAATGACAACAACTACAACCGTCTAACTGAAATCCTCTACTAGAACATCAGCTGGCAGCGGAAATGTCAAGCTGGGAGGTGGTACTTCTGGAGTCACACAGAGATAGATGAGTTTCTGCGGGCAGTTTCTCGAGGAACATCCATTTGCAAGCTCATTGGGTCTTCAACTCTCGGATACCATCCGCCACCTGGTGTCATCGGCACCACGCTTTCTGCTTGAACTTTGGTATGCCTGGTGCCTGTCCGGAACTCCGCTTCTGCACCAGCACAAGCACCAGGCAAGCCACTTCAAACAACAACCTAACGGCCACCGGCACATCCAGGATTGTCACAAGCACAAGAAAGCCATGAAAGTTGCCGGAACCTCTCCCCTCCGGAGCCCCTCCCCTCACCCTCGGTTTTCACGAACATGCACGGCCCACTGAGGGCCCACTGAGTGCACCACGGCTCAGGTGCTCAAGCCTCGGCTCTTTCCGTTTGAGGTCGGCCGACTGCGCCAGGCACGTTTTCACGCGCAAGCGCGCATGAGGTCGGATGCCCTGGGGTATTTTCCATGGATTTGGTATATGGATTGGTCAGCGGGTTCTCGTGAATTGTTCCATGAATTTGGGCACTGAGCCGCGGATTTGTTTCAATTATGTTCCAATGAGATTTGGTCAATGGACCAAATGGATTGGTCAATTCATCTTTTGCATTCTTTTGTCAAATGGTACTGCAACCACATCACGAATCGTGCAGCTTCTTGGTCCACGAAGCTACAGAGAACCCTCAGACTCACTGATTTTGGAGTACAGGACAATGTACAGGAATGTATGCTTCAGCTCATTAATGTGTCGCAGAGTTCCCGAAGATTCTTCATCAAAGCCTCTAAGAACGAAGCTTTTTGTTCGGGGGTGGTCACCCCATCTCATGACCAACAAGCAGGTCGAATCCCCACGCGACGCTCCCCCGACGTTTGGGGAACCGCTCCGATGCGATCCACGCGGAACGACCCCGCCAGGTGATGCTGGATCACCTGGAGAATTGGGGCTGTGCATGTGTCGGTTCATGAGCGTCGCTTTGGCTTGTTCGTGTCTATTTTTCTCTGGTACATTTTGGTGTTGGTTGGTTGAGTTGGTTGGCGAGTTCCGGGTGTTTCTCATTGCTAGGTTTCTTTGATGGATGTTTGTTGTGTGTGTTGGAATGCAGAGGTTTGTCTGGGGGTTGGTGAGTCAAATGGGTTGTTTTGTTTCACGGCCCATGAACAACAGATGCTCCCTTCAGTCCGGTGCCATGGTGGATTGCCAAGCCACAATTTCGGGACTTGGGATGCTGACAACAGGCGGTTTCAGTGGCGGTTTGAGCGGACAAACCCTATTGAACCATGAACCACTGTAGCTACTGTTACATACTGGTGAGTTAGAATACTAGTGAGTACTAGCAGCTACTGTTCATATTGTTGCACCTTGTTACATACTGTTACCAAAGGTGGTCAGAATACTACTAGTGACTAGTCCCCGGTGTGTTGATCGCCCAGGCGTGACCTGTTCCACAGAAGTCAGATGTTCTGTGGGGCAGCTCACCAGCCCCCCCAGCTAACCGCTAACCTCGATGGGTTTCAGAAGCTGGCTGGTACACGGTCCGGCAGACGACGATCTCAACCGACCCCATGGCGTCTGCCCCGGTTCGCGAACTGGGTCGCCAGCGACGAGCTCGTTCAACAGTCTTAGGGGTTGAGGTCGTTCTGCAGACTTCAAGCGACTTTTTGAGACATTCCACAGACTTCCCTGTGGGAAAGCCATCAAGCAAGACTATATGGCTCTATAGACTTCTTGGGTTCTATAGCCATTAAATTGTATACAGTTCTACATATATAGACTTTTCGGAAATTCCTACTACAAACTTTCCAGGAGCGCATCTTTGACCTGGCCTTGGTCTACCACGACTTCTACGCTGGCACTTTGCAGACGTCTCACCACGACGGCCCGCTACGGCATCCGGCCTCGTTGGTGAAGCGGCTGAAGGACTTCGCCGCTTTGGCCAAGGGTTGGCTCCTCGCTTCGGGGGTTCAGGCGAGCTGACCGCCGGCCTCGATGAGGCCGGCTGGCTCACACGAACTGGAAGCAAAGCACCCACGGAACCAGGGGGAAAAACATCTGTGCCGGCTGCTAGGGCCAAGCTAGTAGCTAGCATAACCATTGGTAGAAGCTTCAAACACAGCCCAAGCATGTGGGCTCATCTTCCAATGACTAGGGCAGGGTCACGAGTGCTGGGCCATGCTGCCCTTTGCTCAGATGAGGATGGTGAGGATGGTGCAAGGATGTTTTTCATGGTTGGTCTGTATAAAGATATATAAAGATTATATATAAAGGAGGAGATGGAGACGGAGGTTCCGAAGCAACTCGTTGGTCATTTTTTGTTCATGTAAAGATCCTCCCGTCCAATCTCCACCACCCGGTGCGAGCAAGGCCATCGGCGATGAGGGGGACCCCGAGGCGAGGCTGGCGACGTGGCGGTTCGAAGTTCGCGGTGGCCCTGGCGTCCGTGCCCAGTGGTTCACATCTGATCAGTACGGCTTCCTGTCGGTTCCCATTCGGTTCCCATTGGGTTCATCTTGCCCAGTCTGATTCACCCAACAAGTCTACTTCTCATGGAGGTTTCTCCGTTCTGAGCTCTTTTGACCCCTTGTGTTGTATAGGTAGGCATTGTTGGACCGAATCCAACCAAATCCAAGCGCGCAGTGGTCAGCCGGCCTCCTTCACGAGCGAAACTTGACAACACAACATGTGTGCGATCTTCGTGATCCCCAGTTTTTGCAACAGTACAGTGGCCAATGCCTATGATATATATATATATAATATGTAATAAATATACAGTATATGCATTGCTCCCGTGCCCCCTCAGCCACACGGGAGCACTGCATTCTTCGAAAGAAACCAAATGTCGCTCGCCCCTGGCAGATGAGGGCTATGCATACCCCCAAGATCCAGTGGATGAGCCTTTGCCTGCTGGAGCCATTTCTCCCAGCTCTGTCTTAGAGCTGGTGGGTGACTGGGCAAGCAGCTGGCTCTTTTTGGGAGATTTGCGCTTCTAGAAGTGACTAAGACGAGCGTTTTCCAGAGGTTCTATGTGGAGGACCCTCTATCAGGTCAATGGTCAATCCGGGCCTCGGGCCCAACAAGCGGGCGCGACGGTTTGGGCCGCTTTTGTTTGTTTCCAAAATGATGAACGCACGTGCCGTGCCCTACAGCAACTAACTTCTTCTCCACTTGCCAGAAGAACATCTAATTATATAGCAGGTTCTTGGTTTGCTTGGACTTTGGAGGAGCAACTGTAATCCGTAACACGTTTCGGACGTTCCCAAGCTGCTCATCAGCAAGTCTTCCCTGGCAACAGAGACAACTTCAACCATGCTCTATTGTTGCAGTCCCACGCAGGACTCTACAACTGACAGCCTTCCTGCCTGGCGCGTATGGGGCCAGGTAACTTCTTCTACCACGCCCACGGCCGCGAACAGTGCGCCCCGCATCACTGTCGGGAGGACGAGGTTCCTGTGCTGCGATTGGCGAAGGTGGTGCCACTACACATGCGAAAGGCCTTCTGTGCCTTGGTGCTTCAGGGTGGCGCTTTGGGCGGCAAGAAACGAAGTGCATCAGAAGGCCTCAGTCAGTGGTGATTGGGGGGGCTGAGGTACGCCAGATGATGAGTGGGGGGTTAAACCGGGTAAACCAGACGAGTTTGGGGGAAAGCAGTTGGACCTGTTTTCGGATGTTTTAGAACCTCAAAGCCTCAATGAATCTTGCCGTTCGTCGCACTCCAAAGTCTGACAGGGGCGAGGACCCCGGACATTTCAATGTGTTCACTGAGAGAATGTTTACTTGTCCCATCTTGTCCCCAAACACACTTGTCTTCAGATCCTTGGGCCGGGCAAGGTAACTACTATCACTTCACCACGGTGGGCCTGGCACGCGTGGTGGCACTGCTGCCACGGCTCAAGGCGGATGAAAGCATCCTGGTGCTGATCCCCTATACCAACAAGAGCCATGCACTAAAAGCCGTTCATTGGGGACGATTTTGTTGGACACTCTCAGGAGTTTACCAAGATGCCCAGAAAATAGCAAGGTGCCCCTTTCGTGTCCGAAAGGACCCTTGACATGGCATAATGCGTTTTATTCATGCCATGATCGACATGAATGAACGCTTGAGCCCCCCCACGTGAATGGATGGTGAAATGGGTCGCCCCCCGCGGGTCGCCGACCGGGGCTTCGGCCCTGAAAGAGGTCCGAGACCAGGACCTGTTGGGCCCGGAGTCTAAATGGATGAGATGAGCAGAACGAATGGCTGTTTAGAGACAGAACTGGCTATCCATACTATCATATACTATCCATTCGTTTTTCCTTTAGATTGTTTTTATTTTTTTTTGGGGGGGATTAAAACGAGCAGATGGCACAGACATGGTTTCAGAGTATTGTAGATGGTCATAGATGGTCCACAGGTCTTTTTTCACCGGACTCAACTTCTGTGAGTCTTCGCGCGGGCTGGGCTTCCCTTCCTTCGTCCATAGACGACACCATCGAGATATCGAGACCATGTCCAGAGGAAGGTGTGGTGTGTCCATTCAGCGAGTGTCCCAGCTGAAACGGGTGTGTCATGGTGTCAGTTCAGCCACTTGAAATCGGTTTCCTTTGAATTCCTTATTTTGTGTATATTTGGACTGGTTCGGTGGCGGGGGTGCGAGGTGAATACCCGAAATGTGGGCGCATGTGTCGCACTGCCGATTGTTTGTCTTCCTTCCTCCCAAACCTCTCCGTTTCGAGCTCTCACACGAGGAAAGGACAACGTTCACCTTACATACGCGAGAGCCTGCGTTTTCTAGGCCGGGTGTGACTGCAGAAATGCCGGTGAAGAGTCTTTAAGATCTTTAGGCTAGACCTGTGGGTGTTGAGTATGTTGAGTGTTGACTAGGCCTTGTGCTGTGGCTGAAGTCTTCCCGCGCCACCTGAAATAAACATGATACACCATCTCAACCCCCTCAAATCATCTTTGATTTGCAATTCTGTCAGCTCTCCCGCCATTCCTGTCAGCTCTCCCGATTTGGGGATTGGAGGTGTCGAGGAGCAGCGGATCGTCAGCTTCCCCCCGTGTCGCCTCGTCTTCGCGGATGAGCTGCTCCTCGCCGGCAGCGGGCCTCGCAGTGCCTTCGGCCGCGATCGGCAGACACATGCGCGGGTGGCGTGGCCGGAAGAGTGAGAGGGTGGGCAGGGCTGGGCACACTGATCCGCTGTATTACGAGGAGCTGAGGGATGACCTGCCCAATGAAACACACATGAAACCACCAAACACCAAGAGCTTCATAAGAGACATGTACTCGTTCAAACATTTACAACACCATTCCCTATAGGAGGGAGGACACATAATGAAACTACCCATGGAGACCATCGCTAGTAATTAGGTTGGAGGCCACCGCTAGTAGTTAGGTTGGAGGCCACCGCTAGTAGTTAGGTTGGAGACCATCGCTAGTAATTAGGTTGGAGGCCATCGCTAGAAAAAATGTTGGAGGCCATAGCCGCTGGTAATTAGGTTGGAGGGCATCGCTAGTAATTAGGTTGGAGGCCATCACTACTAGTTAGGTTGGAGGCCATCGCTAGTAGTTAGGTTGGAGGCCATCGCTAGTAATTAGGTTGGAGGCCATCGCTAGCAATTAGGTTGGAGGCCATCGCTAGTATTTATGTAGCACGCCATCGCTAGCAATTAGGTTGGAGGCCATCGGTAGTAATTAGGTTGGAGACATTAGATTGGAAGCCACCACTAGTAATTAGGTTGGAGGCCATCGATTAGGTTGGACGCCAACGGTTTGGAGGCCATCGATTAGGTTGGAGGCCATCACTAGTAATTAGGTTGGAGACCATCGATTAGGTTGGAGGCCATCACTAGTAATTAGGTTGGAGGCCATCGATTAGGTCGGAGGCCATCACTAGTAGTTAGGTTGGAGGCCATCGATTAGGTTGGAGGCCATCGGTAGTAATTAGGTTGGAGGCATTAGGTTGGAGGCCATCACTAGTAATTA